TCCTGCGGCATTTTTAAAAAGTCCCGATTTTTGGAAAGAATGCACGACAAGCTAGGGTATACGGTTTTCGGCTGCCATGTGGCTATTTCGCCAGGATAGGAGTTTTATCAACGGTGTCCCACTTTGCCAATGTTAAAATCTGGTCACTGTAACTTCTGGGCGTGAGTCTTCTCTAAGACCTGTGGCCCCCACCCCTTCCCAAAGAGGCTGAAGTCCTATCTGTGGCCCTTGGCTGAGCCAAAGAGGCAGGCTGTCAGCTTGGGTCTTATTTGTATAGCTCCTCGGTGACGACAACTGGGGAACGAAATTAGCAAACCTTTCTGACAGTCAAGCCAGGGGTACCAGGAAGCCCGTCCTCATCAGGGCAGGTGAGGATGCAAGGGGTGAAGGCAGTTCACGTTTTACATTTTACTGAGTGGAAACGTTACCGTCTTTGCTTGGGGTGTGGCCTTCTACAAAATCAACTGAGGGCTTGTTTTCTGTCTTTTTAAAAAGGATCTCTTAACACTTCACAATCACCATCAGCTGGCAAGCCTTTGGCAGCTGCACTTGACCTCTGCATGGGTTTCTAGGGAGATCAGAGGGGCTGGGTGGCACCCGAGCATATGCAGAGGGTCCAGGAGCGGCCACATTCCTCCCGAGCCCTCCAAATGGTGCTCAGGAAGGCATGGAGGGAGGGAGGGAGGCTGGGAAGCCCCCACCCCAGGGTGTGGGCCAATGCTAAAGAGCCTTGCATCTGATCCCACCTGAAGAGGCCCGAGGCTAGTCTGTGTACCCCAAGGAGTGAGAGAAGACCCCTGAGCTGCACAGGTAGAGGTCGATTGTGTATGTGCAGATGTGCAAGATACACGAATTTCTCAGGTGGCAGTTGGGTGCTTGAGAACGCAGGGAAGCGGCAGCAGAAGAAGGCGCAGCTGCGATGCCCAAGAGGAAAAGAGGGTGGGCAGGGGGGGGGTTGGTGGCGTGTTTCCGGTCTACTGCACCTCTGGGATGAGCTGGAAGAGCGCGTTAGAGAGCAGTGTTCCAATGGACAGGGCGATGAAGTAAGTCAGCACGCGGCTGAAAAACGCTTTCTCGGTGCAGGGCAGGACGAGGACTCCCAGGAGAGAGGCCAGGTTAATCAGTGACACACTGAGGAACCCAAAGCCCCACACTGCGGAGGAACAGAAACAGACGAGGGCCTCCATTACCGCGGGCAGGAGCACCCCCAAGGCCAGCCTGGGCGTGCCCCCCTCCAGATCAGCCGGCGATCCACCAGCCCGCCGGCAGATTACGGATGGACTCCACCTTCTGCTAGGCGCTGCGGACAAGCCTGAGACAAACATGTCAAAGCAGCTCCCCAAAGCAGCTGACCTTGTGGGTGGACAGACAGGGGGGAGCATAGTTAAGTACCTTCCGTGTTAAATACCAACAGCAGCAGGCACTACAAGCCCAGGCAGTACCAGCCAGTAGTACCAGCTAGGACCAGTCCCACGGGGTTTCTGAAAGGCAACCACAGGCCTGAAGAATCGCGACCCTCCCAAACCAGGGTTCGTGGGCGGAGAGAAGGGAAAAAGGGGGCTGAGAGCAGCCTCAGCAGGGCCTTAAATGGTCACCTTTAAAAACACCCAAATATATCAGACCCCTCTAGAGTTTAATGAAAACCAAAAATGGGGAAATGGACAAAAAAAGCATTCACATAGCTGGTCCAAAAGGCCCCTCATTCGGAACATTCGCCAGCACTGCCGCCCGCCCAAGAGTCTGGCCGCGAGCTGGCCCAGGTTTGCGAGCGCAGACAATGGGAGTAGTCACTGCTCTGACCCTTCCCTCCCGGGTGGACACCCTGGTCCTGGCTCGCTTAGAGAGTCAGGGTGGCCAGTGTGAGCCCAGGCAGGACGCTCCGGCCCCTCCTTCCCCTCCCAACTCACCTTCCAGGGTGCTTGGCTTCCCCTCCTCCGTCTTCTCGTTCTCCTCATTCTCCTGCTTCTCGGAGGTGCAAGCCTTGGAGTCCAGCTGCTGGAGGATGGTGGGGCAGAACTCCTGGAACTCGCTGCTCCCGATCCGTGACTGGCTGCTAAGATTGTGGGCCGCAAAGAGGTCCCCAGAACTGAAGCACTGAAACCAAGGGGAGGGGGCGGCGAGAATAAAGTGCCTCTCAGAATCCATCGCTCGCCCCTCAGCAGCACCGCACTCAGCCTTCCAGGAGAACGAGGACTCTGGCACTCCCGAACGGAAGGAGGTTTCCAGAAAAGAGCAACGAAGCCCCTGAACTTAGAAAATCTGCTAAGTAGAGTGAGAGGCCAGTCGACTCATATGCAAAGGGTTGGCTGGGAAGTTTGGGGAACAATCAAGTGCCAGGCATTGTCACCATATGGAATCTGGCTGCCCTGGCAGAACATTAGGTAGCCCTGGGAGATATGAGCTTCCAGACACTTCTCCAGAGCTCGAGAAGACTGGTATCTGTGGGGGAGCTGGGGCTCCCTGGAAGCGGTGGTGCCATTCAGTCAAATCCCACAAGGGGAGGTGCAGTGTTTGCAGGGGTTCATTTGGCACACTGTGTTAAGTCCGCCGCCGCACGGCAACCCCCGTGTCAGAGAGCAAGAACTATGTGACTGCGTCACCAAGCCTTTCTTCCGCGGTGCTGCTGGGTGGATTTGAACCGCCAACCTTTAGGTTCGCAGCCTAATGCAAACCCTTTAAGCCGCTCAGGGGCCTTGACAGAGGACACTTATCCTCACTGCCATCAGATCCATTCTGACTCATTGCAGTCCTACAGAGCAGGGTAGAACTCACCTCCTGTGAGTTTCTGAGACCGGAGCTGCTGACAGGAGTAAAAGCCCCGTCTTTCTCCCTCGGAGAGGCTGGTGGTTATAAACTGCTGAACTTTCGAATTGCAGCCCCACACATAATCACTACGCCACCAGGGCCCCTCTGAGGATAGGGTAGTAAGATCTAAGGACCCCAACTGCACTGTGGGCTGGCCAGTGTATCTGAGCATGCGGTCCCCTTGGGGAGGTAGTCGGTAAATGATCCGCCTGCCTGTGAAATACTGCAGTGCTACTGTCTCTCAGCTCCATCCCTCTGGGCTGCTGACAAGGAGTCTCTGGGACTGCAGAGTTGAGGGCCAGCCTCCTGGTGACCCGAGGCACTGCTGCTTCCCTGGGGGGCTCTGAGACCCACCCTGGAAGCACCTGCAGCCAGGGTGCAGCGCCCTCTGGGGCACCCAACTCGGTCCGGTTTCAGCTCACACCATCGCCCTTGTTTCTGAATCGTCCAGTGACTGTCCCACCCACAGCATTCATTCGGTACTTCACGTTCATGTCTGCTCTCTGTTGGCTGAGCAGTGAACTCCATAGACATGACTCATGTTGCTTTATTTCTCCAGCCCTCGGGACAGAGAACAAAGCAGATATATGAAGCCTTGGCTGCTTGACTTATGCTTGGCTGCAACAGTCTCCTTCTCTGCATAGCTGAGGTGATGGAGTGGAAGAAAGAGCAGAGAGCCAGAAGACCTGAGTTCTAGTTCTGGTCCTGCCCGGAACTCACTCTCTCCGGGCCCTCGGTATCCTCCTCCCCTGTGTAAATGGTGAGGTTCCCACCTGCACTTGGGGTGGTGTTCAAACTGCTTGGTCAAGGGCGCATCCAGTATTAGAAACACTAGCTGCCCAGGGAGCCACAGCTTTCCAGAGGTTCTGAGGAAGTCTGGGGGTGCTGAGCACCCACTTCACTCCTAGCCTTTGCTAAGGACTTCAAAACACCCTGACGGGCTCAGGAGGAGGCTGGGCCAATTCCGACACGGGGTGAAAACAAATGGGCCTACATGCTGTCTTATCCTGGTTTGTCTGCCCCAAGCTTACACCCCCAGGAGCCCTGGTGGCACAACAGTGAAGCACTCAGTGGAGGGAAAGGTTGGCAGTTCGTACCCAGCTCACGACTCGGTGGGAGGAAGGCTCGGCAGGCTGACCCTGTGAACATTTCCGCTGAGAAACCACTCCGAGGGGGGCAGCTCTGCTCTGTCACAGGGGGGTTGCTGGAAGCTGAAACCCGACAAGCCATTTATCTCAAACTGCTGAGGTGTCGCTGAGTTCCAAGAGGGCGGGGGCTGGGCTGGGCAGAGCCGCTGGCGGGGACAGGCCCTTACCCTGGAGAGGTTCTTCTGCTCCGGCCCTGGCTGGGTGACGTTCGCTCGGCCCACACCCACGTCCAGGTGGTTGAGTAGGGCCTTCAGCTGCTGCAGGGTAAGGCTGTCCCCCTCACCATAGCGACGCATGAGGTCCTGCAGGAAGGAGGCGGCACTGATGGCCGGTGCCCCCGCAGACAGCGCTTGAGCCTCAGGAGCAGTTCTCCAAGAGCCGAGCAGGGCCAAGAGGAGGCAGCCGTGGAAGAGCAGGTGCCGCGGCTTCATGGTGACCAAGGAAGCCTGAGAGGAGACAAGCCAGGTGGAGGTGAGCTTCGGGAAAACCTGTCTCTTCTGTCCCCCGTCAGCCAGCAGCAACCAGGGGCCAACCTCCAGACCCAGGAGGTTCTTTGAGAGGCTCACCCCTCGGAGAGAGTCACCCCTCTTCTGCAGACTCAGACCCCCCTGGGTGTCCGAGTCTGACTGCTAACAAAGCAAACACGCATCCCTTCTCTTACTCCTCTGCCCAGCTTTCGAGGAAAATCCCCTCTTTGCAAGGATAGAATAAAAACATAATGAAACAACCATTTCAACAGGTTTGACTAAATGAAGCTTCAAAAACAAAACCATGGCATCCTGCAGCTATAGTTTCAAAAGAAACTCGGGAAATGTGCCGCCGCCGGCAGACAGACAATAAGTCGTCTGAATACAACACAGATGAGGCCAGTAGGAAGCTTGCTGGGAGAGTAAAACAGATGTTCTCTGGCTGGAACATGAGCTGAGATAAACAACGGAATAGAAACAGTACTGCCGGTAACTGCAGAGGGAATGATTCTTTCGAAAAGTTAAGTAATGACAATATTTACATCTTTCACTTTAGTGACAGCAATTGTACTTCTAGAATTTACCCTCATACAAGGGCAAAGTCAACATGTATTGCTAAGATAGTTCAGATCGTGCGTGCACGGATGTATTCCAAACAAAGTGTTCACAAGTCTCTGTGACCGGGAGATGTTTGCAAAGACGGCCTCTCAGTAATACACTTGTCTTAATCTCATTAGGGTGGTTTCCAAAGAGAAGGTCTAATCAAAACGGTGATTTCTTCGGAGGGAATCTGTCGGACCAACTGAACTCAAGGCAGTGAGGTCAGGTCAGAGGGTTATGGTGAATGTTTCTTGAGATTCCCCAGGGGCCATACCGATAGATATTCTGGAGGATTGTAGGACGGTCATGGGAGCTTGTTATGAAGACATTTAAGAGAAGTTTCAAGTGGCCTCCGTGAGGAAAAGGCCAATGGTGCTGAAGCGTTCTTCCCGCCCCGACGCGTTCCTCCACGCAGAGCCATCGAGGGTCATTAAGCAGTCGGACCCCACCCACACTACAGCCCTCGTCTTGCCCCTTCGGACCTCTTTTCTGTTCCCGACTCACAGAACACTGAAAAGGAACGTGATTTGCACCTCTCAAAGATGCCAACACTGCTGCTTTGATGCGATGTCCATGGAGTTGTGCAGAACTCTGAGGGAGCGCTAAGAGGGCTGGGAACACCGCCTTAGAGAGTGTATACCCTTAGATGGAGGATACACCCAAAAACCCAACAGCATCCCAGGTCAGGCTTTGTCGGTAAGAAAAGTTTCTATGCTTGTGTAGCAATGTTTTTGACTCATCGTCAAAGATATAACTCAAAAATAGAAAGGTTCTGGACAGAAAGATGTGTTACGGTCACGTGAACCACATCCATTTCATGGAAGATCACACAACTGTAAGACATGAGAATCGCTGTGTGAGTCTGGGTAAACTAGAGAAACAAATCCACAGAAACTCATAGGTATAAGCGACAGTTTTATATACAGGGTAAGTGTACAATCAGAAAGCACCCTAACCCAGTCCAGTCCAAGCCCATAAGTCCGACGTAGCCCATAGGTCTGACACCGATCTACAAAGTCCTCCTCAAACACACGAACACACACAATGATGCTGAATGCAGGAGGATCACAGGCCAGTGGGTAGAGTTCTTGAATCCAGTGGCGGTGTAAGCATCTCAGCGCTGGCATGGTCTCCACGCGGCTTCCCCTCAGGGTTATCTTGAAGGAAGTGAGCTTGCCAGCTAAGGCAGCAGCACCCTGGTCCAACCAGCAGTGAACAAGAGACCAGAGCACCAGAAAGGCGGGGCTCACCGAGCCATTTATCTCTCCGCCCTTCTATTAATCCCACATGTGTTTATCGGCCAGGTTGGTACCATAAACCTTAACTATCTCAATCACAGATGAAATGGTAACTTTAAAAAGCAGGAAGACCTCTAGCATGATTGTTAAGAACCCAGGAGGCGCACAGGAAAAATGAAGTTTAACTAGGAACTGCCAAGAGAATAGACGGATCAGTCTTAGAAGAAACAGAAACAGAATGTTCCTCAGAGGGTAGGACAGCAAGCCTTCGGCTGACTGGGGGCACGCCGCCAGGAAAGACCAGTCTCTACAGAAGGCCATCCTGTTGATAAAAGTGGAAGATGGGGAAAGCCAGGGAGGCCGTAAGTGAGGTGGACCGACAGTGGTCAGGACAAAGGGCTCCGACCTCGTAACCATCATGAAGGCGGCACAGGATGAGGTCAGGCTTCCTTCTATTATACCGAAGGCTGCCAAGACTGGGGGCCGACCCGATGGCCGCCGCCACCACCACAGGACTGCCCATTCTGCTTTTGTGAATGACTTCCCTTAGCATAGTGAGGACTTAATCAGTAAGTTCAACATTCAGAGGGGAAAATGATCCTCCCTAAACCAGACCCTGGGGTCCCAATCCCTGCAGTCCCTTCCACCGCTCCCCAGGCAATCTGGGTCCCATCACCAGACACCTGGCAGTGAAGGGTGAGGGATCACAACCCCTGACCTTGGCTTGTTTGAGAGACATTACAGCAGAGTGGTAACAGGCAGCTTGTTTGAGTCTTGGCTCTTCCACTTATGATCTGTGTGATCTTTCAGTGGTTAATCGCCCCAAGTAGTGATCAGCTTATGGTCTGACAGAATTGGCTTTCATTGCTTGGTGCTGGCTTACCAGAGAAATGAATGTAGATAAGTTACTGAGCCTCTCTTTTCTCCAGTTTTCTCTACAAAATTGGCACCTACCACAATGGGTTATTGTGAGGACTTAACGTTGTTGGGTTATTGTGCAGCTGGATGACAAGCCTTTGGAACACCTCAACTATACAAGTACTCAACGACACTGAGCTATTCTCATAGGGTGTATAATTAGCAGGGCTCTCTCACGTTGACTCTCAGCCCAAACACTAAGCTGCTAAGGAAACTATCAGTTAGCTTGGTGACTAACGTTACTTTCTGCCAAAATGATAATTCTAGGCCTGTAACACATACATAAGTCCCCTATCAAGGACATTCCAAGCTCTGAGCTTCAAACACAGGGCACACAAAGAACATGGGGTTATTAAATAGAATATACTTTGAGTTGTGTAAATAGATGGACTCTCGGTACCATTAAGTATGACTCACAGTGACCCTATAGGACAGAGTAGAACTCTCAGTGTAGGTTTCTGGGGCTATAAATATTTACAGGAACAAAAAGTCCCACTTTTCTCCTGTGGAAAGGCTGGTGGGTTTGAACCACCGACGCTGTGATTAACAGCCCAACACATAAGCTACTCTCCTTCCTAATTAATAGGTCAGGCATCAGCAAAAATGGTGATGGAGAAAAGTGTTGCTTTGAGACTAACAATTCTCTAATCTCCAAGTGGAAACAAATGTTAAATTATGGTCAGCAGCGTGGATCTCAGGCAAAAATGAGTAAAGCATCATTGTTCAAAAATCCCATGACCCACTGTGTAAAGCTATCAAATTCAAGGGGATAAGGTCTGCCTGGATTAGAAAAGGAGAGGCCAAGAGATCCTGCCAATAGCGGCCGGTAGGTACTAAGTGTTTGGCACTCACTGGGGCTGTGCACAAAGCTGTCATCTTCATCATGGATGAGGAGGGTGGGGTTCACGTAGGGAAACCAGAAACGGACTTTTCATTCACTGAAACCAAGCCTGGAATGACTCTCTTTGCTACCGTCCTGGCTGTGGAGAGACAGACACATGCCGATCCGGATCCTGCACGGTCCCAAGCAGGGGAGCATCATGCAGGATCCTGATACAAGTGCCAAATCCAGGTTTAAGATCGAGACTGAAGGCCACGCATGCAAGGGACACCCCAAGTATGTCAAGTGCCTTAGAAGTCAGCCTTCACTGCAGAGTTCTTTCCGTGGAATCACTGGTGCAAATCAATTATTTTTAATTCAGACATAGTTCAAGAACTGTAGAATACACAACCACACAAACACTTCCACTGTGAGAAACTGCAAGGCAAGTGTTAGTAGCTTTGCCACCTAGAAGTAACAACACCCGTGCCTCCCCTGCCCCCACCCCCCACCCTGATGCCTGTTCCTCTGTTGAATGAGCAGCTGTGGTTCTCACTGATGCCCAGGCTCATGAGTCTGGACCACTTTCCTTATCAGGTTGGTAGAAACAGCCGAGGGAGCATGCCCACCTGGCTCAACACTTGAAACAAGCACCCCACTCCCCAACGAGCCAGGAGATGATCTTCCAGGTGCTAAAGTCACTTGAGATCTGTGGGACGCTGGCCTCCTGGCAGATATACCATATGCTCCCGCAGACAGGTTTTTTCTCAACAATTTATTCTTGGTGGGGGTGGGTGTTGACCAATGATTCTTTGAAGGAAAGAAAGAAGAGAGGAAGAAATAATCTATAGCTCTAAGCGCAGCTAGGGTGGTGAGGAGAAGTAGCAGGCAGTTAGCAGGAGTCCCTGCCGGGTGGCCCTGGCTACAGGGAAAAGTCCCATTCCATTCTGGCCATGGAAACTGGTGAGCCTGGGGAGGTCTGTCTATGTCAATCGTCCTAGGTGGCTGAGCCAACTGCCTTCAGATGAAGGGAGGACACCTCCTGGGAGTATGAAGAAGAGCAGGCAACACAGTGCAAGACAACAGCTACCGAGACAAAGGCTCGAGTGTGCTGCTGGCTCAGAGGAACTCGTTCCTCCTGCAGAGAAACTTGAGCTCTTGACCCCTTTGTTCACGTGGCTCAAGTTCAAAGAAGTAAATGACTTTATTGCCCGACAAATTTGGCAGCCTGAAGCTGATCAAACAGGCAATCAAAGTGCATTGGTAATTCCTGGTCAGTAGAACGCAAATGTTGGAAATAATGAGGAATCAGTAGTAGGAGAAAATTTGCGGCCTTGGTGATGGAAGCCAAGCCAAGATCGCAGGATCGAATTTTGCAAGGCCAATGGCTTACCCACCGCAAA